TGCCAGGCAGGCGCTTTTGCCGCTGAGCTAAATCCCCAGCCCCCAGCCTCCATTCTTAATGTTTTCTGCTTTGCTAAATAGGGGGCATCAATCAGTATTTTTAAATGATGCAAATGTATCCACAGGATAGATCAGGGTAACACTAGACCCAAAACCTCAGTGCCTTAAAACAGCATATTAATTGCTCAGGAACCTGTGCATCTAAGGTTGGCAGACATTTCTTTGTCCTCATGTTGGATTGGATTAATGGAGCAGCCACTGTCTGGATCATTCTGACAGAGGCTGTGGAGGGTCTTGCATTGGCAATTCAATGCCCCCTTCAACAATTCATTGGTCTGAACTGGTCACATGATCCACTCAACTGATGCACTGAGTAATCCTTTCATCCCAGCAAGCAGAAAGCCAGAGATAGATGATGAAAGCATCACCATCACAGTTTGCCCTTCTCATCACTAAACCTGTTCCCCATGATCCTTGCAGACAAAATATACTCATCCTCTATCCAAAGAAGACAACCCCAAATGTTCCATTAGTCATGGCATCAAACTCAAAACCCAGAATACCTAGATGCTATGCGCCCATTTGTAGAACAGGTCTGGATGAAAATTAAAGTCTGGATGAAAATTTCTGGAGTATTAACTACACATACCCATAATAGTGACTAACCACACTCAAAACCCTAAATACCCATTATAGCCTCTCACTCAGAGGGGAGAAATGAATGACATTTGGTAAGTAGTGGTCCATGGCAATTCCAAAACCCCACTGTCGTCACTGTGAGGGCCCTTCACACTGCAGTGGGCATGATTCCCTGGGAGGTGCTTCCCAGTTCATTATTTTCTGAGGTCTTTAGATCCTCCCTGGGAAATTACTCCCTTACTATGATCCTCCTTGGCATTATCTGAAGGTAAAGCAGCTTTCTCAGGCTTCTGCTCACCCAAAGAAGGCTGAGGGTCCAAGGCTTACTTTACATAGTCACAGACTGGTGGTTTCTTTAGCTTTAAAATGTTCTTAAATGTTATTCAGCTTTCTCTGTCTTTGATCCTATTCATTTCTATTTGCCAATAACCAGAGACACAGTTCTCTTTTACACAAACACCTTAGATTGTCTGTTTTTCGTTGCTTCTTTATATTGAAGAATAAAGAAATATAGTAAGCATATTTTTCTTGAATGACTTACTTCTTAGTATCGTAGGTCTCACAGGCTTCAGTAAGAAGACCATGTCATTAAATCATTTCTTTGAACCATTTTTGTCCAGCTAAAAAAATTGCTGAGCATTACCTAATTATTTAATAGTTTTTAACTATGGGTGTGCAGGCCATACCCTTAATTGCATTCTTATTCAAGGCTAAATCTTAATTGACCTTTGTCATTTAAAATATACCTTAATTTTAATTTTTATGGTTTAGAGTTGAGGTACAGTTTCATCTTCCACATCCACAAGACTCTAAATGTTTCTGTTCTTTGTCATTCCTAGTTATAAACCTGCTGATCCTTTGCAGAGATCAGTTTCAGGGATACGTATGAAAACAGCAGAAATCATCGCATGCTATGAACTTTGTTTTCCAATCTCTTCTCCTAAGGCCGCAGATTCATTAAGAACATTATTAGCTTTGTTTCAGTGATAATTTATAAAATTATATAACATAGCTTGCCATCTTAATCTGATACTGGCCCTCAGACTACTCCTGCCTATTTTTGGGTCTTTTTCTTTCTTTTCTTTTTTAAAACATTGTCAGCACCTAGCTTCCATACCAATTTTTTTAATTAGTCAGGGTTAGGCTCAGCTTTGCTGCTTAACAAATACATTCTGAAATTTCAGTTGCTTAACACATGTAGAGGTTTATTTCTTGCTTACTTCGCAGTCTAACTCAATCAGGCAGTTTTCTTATTAAGATCTTTCCCACATGAATACTGATTTCATTTTCAGTGTGACATATTTGATGTCACCAGAAGTCACATAAAGTAGGATAACTGTGAGGAAGTCATGTGGTTCAGAAGCATCTTTCAACATCTGTGCCCACCACGTGCAGAGGTGGAGTTTAGGAAAACACTGCAGGGAAGAGGTAGGCAGTCCTTTCCCTTACTCAGAAAGGTATAGTCCTGGGGTGGCTGCTATGCTAGGGATGAAAGTGGTGCAGGGCTGGAGAGTGGAAGGAAGTCAGGAGGACTGAAAAAGGAGAGGGACAAGGCATATGTGCCAGGGCTTCAGAATCCCCAGTGAAATAGCACATCAAGAACTAAAGGCATAGTAGTCCCCTTGGGGCAGGAAAGTGAAAAAAAGCATTTGGAAAGAGCACAACTTCCCCAATGATATCTTAGCTCAACTTGGGAAGACCAATAGCCCAGTGTGGGTGGTCTTCTCAGTCACAGGTATAAACCTTATTTTTGTTAGGATGTGAAATTGTGCTGATCAGTGCAGAAACAGAAAAGCTCGGGGAAATAAAACATGTAGACATGTTTTTTGCAAGTGCTTCCATCAGAAATCTTGTCACAGGTCTAAGCTGGAACTCTCATTCAGGTTTGCCTCCAAATTTAATATTTTATGATATTGAATATTTTATTAATATTATTTTATTAATATTTATAATTTTAATATTTTAAAATTATACTCACTTCTTGGTTTTAAAAGCATTTGAACCAAGTAATAGAATCTTCTTTTAAAAATATAAATGCATGTCTAACTAACTTCCTGGATGTTGATTTTTAAGTTCCTTCTCAAAAATGTCTTTTTCTCCCTGGGGTTTATCCCACTTATTCTTTCTCACAAACAAGACGCTGAGCATGTGGATTTCCCCAGTGATCCCCCAAGGCCTGATTAGCATCCAAATTTCTTTCTTTAATAAAAAATTCAATCAGGAGCCACTTAATGTTCCTGATGGAGTTTTTAAGTATCAACAAAACAGTGGTACAAGTTAAGCTGTGAAAAAAGAACAGGGATAGTACCCAGCACCACTTTAGAAAGAGTAAGGAAAGATTTTGTTTTAATGTCTTTGCTTTCCAGGACTACAGACCTGTGCAGGACTCCTACTTTGGGGTGCCTGATGTGCAGTTGCATTCCTTAATGTAAAAGGCTCATCTACAGAGCAAGCTGAGAGAGAGTTCCAGGAACTGAATTAATGAGACCATACCCTACGGGGACTGTTTCTTCTTTAAAGGCAAGGCCAGTGAAAAAAGGGAGGCCAGGAGTGCTGAAAGGAAAGGTAGTAGCAGAGGCAATCCACAAGTGAAGTTCCTGTGGATACAGGGTAGGGAGAAGAGGGTGGTTTTTTGAGTCTCTTTCAAATGCTTTTAAGCAGTTGAATTCTTGACAAGGACCCATGTTGGTTAGAAATAGTAACTTAATGGATGCACAATTTCTTTATAAATGACCGCATATGTGCTACTCTCAGATTTTTGTACATGTGTGTAGGGTTAATGTTGTGTTTAAAGTTTTTCTATAATCTGTCACTTGAGATACACCTGGGTAAATGATCTTGATTCCAGGTACTTGACCAAACAAACCATCTCATGTTTGCCAGATGGAGGAACCTGATTTCATAAGAGTGTGAAACAGAGAAAAACTAGTTTGAGTAGCCAGGTCTGCTTGCTCTCAATTGTCTAGAAATTTTTCTCTACTCTTCCAGTATTTTGCAAATTCAGTTAGTTCACTGAGAGATTTTCTAGATGCACTTCATAGTGTTGTTCAAAAGTGTTGTTCAGCATGCATCTGTTGTATCAGTGTATTTTCCACAAACTGCCCTGAGAAGTTGAGGCTGACAGAAGAGAAAATAATCTCTTTGACTTAGGTGCTGATCACTAATTTCACTAATACATGAAAGGTAGGAATGTACAGGTTTCTGTGGTCTAAGCAATCTCATTGTGCTTAGAGCAACAACAAACCTACTGTAAATTAATACGTGTAATTCATAGACTGAGACAGCCCAAAGGCTAGCTTCTTCAAACTGTAATTCATGACAAAGTCTGGTATGAACAGGTAGCCTAGCATTAGTCCTACCTCTTGGTTACGGTAAAAAGCAGAAAGCAGGATATTCACAGAGCGTGTGCACTTCCTAAGAGCAAACAAATACAAGTGTTAGGGAGGGAGTTACAGAGTGTTGATGGTGACATCTAAAAATACATTGCATGACTCTCCTCATTAAAAGCACATCAGTTTCATTGATTAAATTCTGTAATAGCATTAAATACAAAAGGTTAATGTACTTCCTCATAAGCTTTTTAAATGATTGTGTTAAAGATAATCACCATGTCCATGAGCTAGAAATAATTTCTGAGTCTTGTGGTAAACTACGCATAAATTAACGTATTCCTGTGTTTCAGGTGGCTGAACTTGTAACCAGTGAGTTCTTTGAACAAGGAGATCGAGAGCGATCGGAACTCAAACTCACTCCTTCAGTAAGTCCATCCTTTCATTATTAGGAATTTATCTTTTGAATGATATTTAAAAAAAAAAAAAACTCAAAATCACAACTTGAAAAAGGAAAAGACTGATAACAGATTTAAGGAAGGACTCCTGAAAGTTTAAACCTTGAATTAAACTTAAATACTAAAAACCCTCATTCCCAGGTTTCCAATTAAGAGTGTGGTAAGCTACTTAACAAGCACTTCCTGAGCACCCACCGTGGGACAAGTAGGCACAGGGGAGACTGTGCAAAGTGGAGTCGGAACAGTTCACAGCTCAATACCAGCGTTTCATATATGCCCACTTTGGATTAGAAATATGGCAAAAATTTCAAGGCAAGCTGTCTGGCCCTGAGGAGCTAGTGTTTATTTTTATTTCAAACTCGCAAGATCCCAAAAGCAAATCATTTCAAACCTGTTTCTTTGTTTGTAAAATGGAAAGTTTCACCTGGGGAAGTAGGTTTTGCCCATTGGAATGCTATTTGTGTTGGACTCACACATTCAATTATTATTTGCGAATGCTTGCAGTAGGCTTAGGACGCCGCTGTCTCTCCGCATCAGGACACACAGGACATCGGTGCTTCAGTCAGCACCCTCAGAGAGGGGCAGCCTCTTTATTCTTAGTGAATGATTAGCTAAAAGTGTAGGTCTGAGAGTGGTGCAAAGTATTTTAAAGCCTGTTAGCCCAGCACAGTAGATGCAGTGAAGCTCAAGGAATGTGTCAGTTGTCAAGAATGTCTGTTTTTGAGGATTCAAATCAATCAAGTCTTGAACATTTGTAAAATCTTTCCATTTTAAGACACCCTTCCTTGACATTTAAAAGCAAGAGAAGCAATGGAAACATCTCCTGGCTTGATAGTTTCACCGGTTTGAAGTTAGAACTCTCAATCTTACTTGTTTTGACTATTCTTAAACAGTTGCTTACTTGTAAAAGGTCCAAAGATTGTATCAGTTGAAGCACGCAGCAGTTATTTTAGTTTTCAAAGCAACATCTAGTTATACGGTGTTCAAAACGTCCTTTGTTCTTTTTTGATGTTATCACCAAATTTGGCTTTAAAAATAAAGCTACTAGATTATAAGACATACAATTCTTGTGTAAAACCCAGGACAACCAGATTTCTCTCAGCTACATACCCAGTTTTTTAAAAAATGCTTTTCCTTCCTTTTAAAAAGTGTTTCAGAGGTGTACCCTGCAGGTCTCAGCATGCACAATACCACAGGTCATTAATTGAATGAAAAAATAAGAGTAACTGGCCAGGGTTGGTGAGCAGGTAGGTGCAGTGGTGCGATGCTAAGGAGCTTTTATCTGTAGGCTGAGGTAAGGTAGTTTCTGAAAATGTAAATTAAATTGACTTTGTGGTGGAAACATAGCTTTAAATGCCACTCTTTCCTCATTAAAGACTACTTAAGACAGCTGATGACCTGCTGTGGGAAGCAGGATATATCTCATGTGTGCTTTTCCAGAAAGTTTGCAAGGGCAGGGACCTCTATGTCTACTACCCCTTTATTTTGAGGTGGAAAATTGTCCTAAAGCCCCATCAGATGCTGTGATCTTAGAGGTCAAAGGCTAATCTGGACCATAGCCAGAGGGTTAATATCAAAAGCTTCTAGTCAATAAAATATGCTTGAGCACCCCCACATGTCCAGTGTGAAGTTTGGCGGTATATTCAGAAATGAGCAACACTGTATTTTCCCTGCCCTCTAGGACCTTGTCAGCTGGTGGGAAATGAGGACTAAGTAAATAATGACTAATACTGTCTTACAAGGTGCTAAATGTTGTAAAGGAAAAGCACAGGAGAGTGTGATACCTCATGCTTACTTTTCTTTTAATCAATTAAACATTGATTAAGAAGTTCAGAAATAAACCCTTAAAATTATGGTCGACTGATTTCAACATGAGTATCAAGACAGTAGAGTGGGGGAAAACTCTATTCAACAAACGATTCAGGAATAACAGGATATTTACAGGCAAAAAGAGTGAGATTGGTGCCCTACCTCCTACTATACCCTCAAAAAACTCAAATTGGATCATAGACTGAAGTGTAACAATTAAGACAATAGAACTCTTCAAAGAAAATATAGGTAAAACTCTCTGGGCTTGCTTCATTCCATTATATCTTAGATGTGATACCAAAAGCACAGGTGACAAACATAAAATGGCCCAAAGATGTCACTCCAGAGATGTTAAGTTGGACTTCACCAAAATGAAATTGGACTTTATTAAAATTAAAAGAAAATTAAAGAAACTGAAAGAACAGTCTACAGAATGGGGGAAGTTATTTATAAACTGTGCATCTGAAATGGGCCTAGTATTTAGAATTTATAAAAAGGATTATAACTCAACTCAATTTAAAAAGTGGGCAAAGGATCTGAATAGACACATTTTCAAAGATAATATGTAAATGGCCAATAAGCTCATGAAAAGATTCTCAGAATCATTAGCCATCACAAAACTGCAAATTAAAACCATAGTGCAGTACCAGTTTAAACACTAAGAAGGTTATGATAAAAAAGACAGACAATAGCAAGTGTTGGTGAGACTGTAGAGAAATTGAACTTCATGCATTGCTGATAGGAATGTAAAATAGCATAGCAGCTTTGAGAAATCAGTTTGGCAATTCCTCTAAAAGTTAAACATAGAATTGCTATATGACGTAAGAATCCCACTTCTAAGTAATCCCAAAAGAAATGAAACATGCATACACACAAAAATATTCACAGGAATGCTAACAGCAGCCCTTTTCATGACAGCCAAAACCAACTCAAATGCCCATCAACTGATGACTAAAGCACAGCATATCTCTACAATGGGATACCGTTTACAAAAAAATAAAAAGAATAAAGTGCTGATATGTGTTACATGGATAAACCTTGAAAACATGCTAAGTGAAAGAAGCCAGTCGCAAAAGCAAGCACGTCATGTGATTCTATTTATATGACATATGTGGAACAGGCAAATCCACTTAGAGAAAAAGCACATTAGTGCTTGCCTAAGGCTAGGAGTTTGGGAGAAAATGAAGAGTTACTGCTATTGGTATGGGTTTCTTAGAGGCGCAATAAACATTGTGGAGATAGTTGTGCAACCCTGTGACTATACTAAGAACCAGTGAATTAAAAAGAAATTTGTATATAGTATCTACCAGGAGCTAACTAAATAAATCATAAAGTAAAGAGAGCTATAGACAAAATAAAACAAAATGCTATGACTTGGATATGATTTAAATATGTCTTCTAGGGTCTTACGTATGGAAATTTAATCTCCATTATGCTGCATTAAGAAGGTAGGCATTTCACAGTATGAGACAAGGATGAGCAGAAGCTCTGGGAGTCAGTGTCCTTATCCCAAGTTTAGAGATATTTTCCTCAGTTATAGCACCTGCTGATTTCTGTCAAAGCACTCCCTCTCTAGTTGATAAATCTGAAGGATGCAGGCATTTCTAATATCTGTCCATCAAGGGGATAGCGGGACCTGCCCTCATGCCCAATTAGAATGCCAAAATGATATGGATGCCACATTTTATTTAGCAGAAAGACACAGCCTACCGTAAGATGATAAGGCAAGGCAAGTCACAAGTAGGTACTGCATTCTTCCAGATCAAAAAGAGCACAAAGTAGTTACGCAGGCCCTGGCTTCACTCTCTAAGCACACAGGGAGGGACATCCCCACTGCAGTGGACTTGGCTGCATTTATTCAAGCAACCTATGTTGATCTTCTAATTCCAACTGACTGCTCTCTCTGTTGAGTCTGCCCAGCAGAAATACGTCACTTCTTTTTCTCAAAAATATACCTAAATTATATCAAACATAACATCATAAACTTTAAAGACTGAGAGTGAAGAACGGGTGGCTCCTCCCACCATCCATCCAGTGACAGACAAATACTTAGGAATTTATTAATGACAGACTCTTACTGAAAAGTACATGCAATCACCAAACTAACATCTCACCCTGAAAGTTAATAACATGGTTTCTATTTCACATTTTAAAATTTAAATGTTTTCCGCCAATCTAACCCATTCTGTCCCATTCTCTCATTATAGAAATAAAAGCCTGCATTATTTTTGTCATAATAAAATATGCCCCACTCCCCTTGACTTGTACCCAGTTTCCAGTTACTTGACAACTTGATTTAGTAGCAGTTACCTGTATCTAAAGATGGATTTTGGCCCCAAGGTGTTGAGTACTATAAAGTTCAAATAAATTCACTTACAAATCTCATAAAAACAAGGGAATACTTTTTCGTCTTAGATAAAAAGAAAAGAAAATATGTGTAAAGATTGACTGTGTTTTGTGGAGTGTTTACTTGGTAAAAACTGGAGCACTGTGGCAGTGTTTGAAGAGCACCTGTAAAATACTCCAAAGTAATAAAGCAAGGTTGTTCTTCTGCTTCCTAGGCTATTTTTGATCGGAACCGGAAAGATGAGCTACCTCGGTTGCAGCTGGAGTGGATTGATAGCATCTGCATGCCTTTGTATCAGGTAATTGTTTATTTGTGAGGGTCTGCATGTCCTGACTGAGCCAGAAAAGGAACAATTTGTGTAACGCACTTTCAGAGGCATTCATTTTAGGAGAGCTAGAGAAAGTGTGTTGCTGAGATGTTGGCTGTATTTTGTCTCCTTCAGAGTTCTGATCCGAGTCGGAAACTAGACACCTGAGTTCTCTACCACTGCACAGGACATAATCTCCAGGGCCTTGTCTTCCTCATAGGTAAACCAAGGATATAATAAGGTCATCTTAGTATTTCCAAACTGTGCCCTATGGAACACAAGTATAGTCTAATACCCTATCTCTTCAAAAACAGATCTCAGGCCTAATAACTACAATATGCAAAATATTAAAATATTTGAAGGCTCAAAGAAGTCACAGAGAAAAGAAATTTACTTGACTGGCCAGGTGTTTAGCTCAGTGGCACTTGTACCTGCCTGCAAGGGTGAGGTCCTGAGTTCGATTCCCAGAACCGAAAGAAAAAAGAAATTTACTTGACCATAACTCTGAATTTCTCAAACATGTTTGACTGTAGAAATCTTTTTAAGTGTTTACAATTTTATTATTGTTTATTAATATCATGAGACATGAGGGCTCTATGAAGCATGATTTTCCAGTCTGACCCCATGGCCCGGTCCAGGAGACTTATATGAAACACCATCCATGTGCAAAATTTGCCTCTCTCTGGGATGTATGCAACGCTGTTTGACCACTGAATTCTGAGCAAGGTACACTAATGACTTCTGGTTCTGCTGCCTGGTGTGCAGAATCTGCTCCTGGCAAGGAGACCTCAGCTTTAAAGGGTTCGTACTCCACTTTTTGAGTACAGATTAAGGCTGGCATAACACTTAACAATTTAGTGTACATTGGCTTTTAATTCTACTTCTAAGCATTTGCTTTCATTTGTAAAACATGGTGAGTTCCTTACCCCCGACCTAGCTCAATCAGACTGAGCTGCTTTTCTAACTTCAAAGGGAGAAACATGTAGTGAAAGCAAAATCTCCTTAGCTCCTCACTCTGTGTAACCCCATTAAGAGCACAGTATTGTTTTTTAAGGACCTCACAACCATTAAGTTTCAAGTTAACTCGTCTACCACTTCATTTTCAGTACTTTTAGGAACTGCTGAGCCCTGTCACAGTACCCTGAAAACAAATAAGCAAATTAGAATACTGTCTTGAAGATGGAAATGTAATTTTTAGTTACGATAAACAGCAAAAGTAAATTTGTTTTTTTTTGTTTTTTATGATTCATTAAATTCCTGATACATAAAATCAGCCGAAGATAGTTTTTAAATCATCTAAGATAAACTATTTCAGTTATAAATGATCGTAATGTTCTTTCATTTAATAATGAAATATGAGCAAAGCATCCAGAATGATAGATGCTTTGTACAAGGGGAAAATCAACTCTCTCTTCTTCCTGTTTGCTCCTCCCGCCCTTGATGTTGCTAAATAAACTGGGCTGCATGTGTCAAGCCCACGGCTGTTGAGCCAGGAATCTTGCTTTGCTAAATTGACCTTGACTACCCACATTGGATTATTTTTTAAAGTTATTCCATTTCCTGTGCACACTTTGGTAATAAATGGAATAAATAAATTACTCTTGCAGTAACTTCTTTTACTGGGAGTAGAGCTTACAATTACGAAAACTTGTATTTGTGCGGCTGTTTAATATGGGATACTCGTTTGCAAAACCCCTTTGGAGTGAATGAAAATACACACACTCTCCTTACGTGACTTGTTATAGTAAATGCCAGAAAGGGTCCTGATGAACTTTGAACAAATACTGATTTATTTCATTACCCATTCATGATTGTTTGGGTTTATCATCTAGTTCCTATTAAATGCTTTGAAACCTACAGGTTAAAAAAGAAGTTACTTGCATTTAAACTGAAAAATAAGTGTCGAGGATTTAGGGAATAGTACTACCATGCCATATTACAGATCAGCCTGATTTTTTAATGTTTTACTTTACTACTCATTTGTGAGGTTAAATGTACCTGCTATTTTGATCCCTAGAAAATTAGCATACAGAAAGGCTAAGATAAGTGATAAGTGATTAGACTTGTGTCCAGCTCACCCATGACCTTGGTTTTGATATGATGTCCTTTCAGGGGCTGGGGATTTAGCTCAGCGGCAAAAAGCGCCTGCCTGGCAAGCGCAAGGTTGTGAGTTCGGTTCCCGGTACCGGAGAAAAACCAAAAAAAATAAAATAAAATAAAATTTAAAAATAAGATATGATGTCCTTTCAACTGCCCCACTCCACTTCTGGTGGGGACTTCTCACACCCTTGTTCCTCCCTGGGGAGAAGCATGCCATCCGAAAGGGGACCTCAGAAAGAGCTGTTTCCAGAGGTTCATATTCATTATTGCTGCTGGTATCTTCCCATTTAACAAGGGATGAAACCTTGCCTTTTTAAAATTTCTTATCACCACTGAATTTTTAATTTCACACTTTTATTTGTAAATTCTTTGCAAGGCTTTGAAATCAATGTTTGAAAGGGTACTCAGACCGAGGCTGCGGCACGAGTGTAAATCATCTCTTTGAAGCTCCCTGTCTTGTTCCTTCTCACACTGTGGGTGCTTTGCTCCACCATTTTAATCAGATAATCTCCCAGCGATGGTTGGTGCTCTGGAACTGAAAGGGGATCGGTCCCTGGGCAGGAATCACCAATAATGGGAAAACAAAATCTTGAGGAAATGGCAAGCGAAGAAAGTCACTGACAGAACACTAGTCACTACAGCAAAACTTCTGAGGCAACTCTGGTTGTTGCTGAAAGGCCAGTTTGGGGTGTTGAACATGCGGGAGCAATAACAAGGGGTCTGCGAGGCTACAGGGAGGAATCCCTGCTGTGATTAGGTTAAGAGGACCTGGTCTGAAATACAGACCAGAAGAATCCACTTTGGCCTGGCTAAGTTGACATATGGCAAAAGTACATGTGTGAGACAAAGAATGTCCCCTTTAATAACCAAACCCTGGACCTAAAGACAGCTGGTATGGGTGACAAAAAACCTCACGGTGGAGCCCAAGCAGGCAGAAGGTCATAGAGAGAGTGGGTCCTCCCTCTTGCAGGCCAAGCAGTGTGGACAGAAATCTCAGCACAGGAGGCTGCTCTGGGCTGGAGGGGGACGGGTCAGGGGCCTGGGGAAGATGAGGGCAGCACGCAGCTGGGAAAGAGCTACAAATATGATTTTGCACAGTGTGTTCATTTTATTGACCTTCACTGAATAAGTCCGTTTAGCTTCATAGTCACTTGTCAAATATCCTAACAGATCATGCACTTTCTGTGTGTGCTCCTGCTTGCTGAGTTTTTTTGTTCCTCCTTGAAGCAAGGGTTAAGCTGTCAGGAAGGGCCCCTTATTTGTATGCCTGGGAAGAAAGCCATACCAGTGTGCTTGGGTAACCACTGCATGTAAACTCACAGCTCTTATCTGCAGGGTAGCCTCAATACCCAGTCAATTCATGACACGTTGGGAAAAGATGAGGGAAGTCCCTCCTCTAAAGTCTGTTCACTAGATTACTGAAGTAATCAAGAGATTGACTAAAAGCAACTGACAGAAAATGCAGTATATGAAAACATAAATGATGCGTGGGCCCTGTTTGCCAGTGTATTGCAAACACGGCGATTGATTCCATCCCACGTGGAGAAAGAGGATGAGCACTTGAGGCATTGCTTTAGCTCTCTCGTGGGCCATGTGGGAAAAGTACGTGCAGAGAACGTCCCAGCCCTGTGCATGGCCACCGGTCGTATCTGCACACCGATGCTTGTGTGTGAGTAGAGTCCCAGAACTTCCTCATCTTTTTAACCTTATTCTTCCAAACTTTTCCTTAAAAAGAAAAAAGGAAGAAAGAAAGAAAGAGAGAGCGAGAGACAGAGAGAGAAAAAGAGAGAAAGAAAGAAGAAAGAAAGAAAGAAGGAAGGAAAGAAAGAAGGAAGGAAAGAAAAAGAAAGAAAGAAAGAAAGAAAGAAAGAAAGAAAGAAAGAAAGAAAGAAAGAAAGAAAGAAAAAGAAAGGAAGAGAAAAACACAGGGTGCTGGAAAATAGAGGAAGGAAGACAGAAAATAGTCTCACAGGCAGAAGTCATGATTTATCTGTGACAGCATTTTAATCAGGAAGCATAGAAATCCAAGAGTGGGCAGGGAACCAGCAAAGTGTGTTCCCCAAGAGAAGCCTAAAGCCCTGGTTAGTTAGCTCTGTCCTAGCAGGGTATCTCCGAGGAATACATTGACATCTGATTCTTGTGCTTTCTGCTGTCTTTGCACCCTGCTGGGGAGCCATTAGCCTGCTGCTCAACATCTTTGGAGGGGGAAAAAAATAAAGAAGAAGAAGAAAAAAAAAAAAACAACATCAAACTTTGAAGTCGTTGCTGCAGCAGCCTTAGGGATAAACAGAAACCCTGATGTCACAGTATCATTCTGCGCTTCTCTTCCCAGGAACGAGCCAAGTTTTTGCTCCTTATTTTCATTCTCAACTTAAACTTCCACGTACCTAGAGTTTCAGTGACCCATAAAGGCATTATAAACCTTCTGCTTATTAAGGATTGAGGGCTTTTTATTCTGAATATAATCGGATTTTTAACTCATCCCAACTGGCTTGTGACTTTGAGATGGATTTTCTCAGAGAGGATGCACAAAGGCCTTTAACTGGGCTGCATCTATCGGGATAATTCTCTCTCTCTCCATGAAGGGAAATAAAATTTCTGAAGAGTGGTGTGACTCCATAAAAATGTCATAGGGTTTCAGCAACAGGCAGTGCTTCTGATGGTAAGATTACAATAACTTTTCACTCTTTCTGCCTCCATTTGTAGGGGTCATTTTGAAAAACACATTCCACCTGATGTAATCATTAATATGCTTTCTGGAAAAGTATCTCTAAAATATACTTGAAATGGTAGAGACCCAGAGTTAGAAATTGACAAACTGGAAAAGGGGGTATAGGTGCTGCTGTAGAACAGTTTCTTTGGACACTGATGAAAGCGCTTCAGAAACAGAT